TGGCCCTGCTGGTTGGGCTGCTTGTGGTTGGTGGTGATGTTGATTTTGGTGCTGGTGTTGGTCCTCTTTGTTGTCTTGTCCCGAGTTCGTTCGTGAGGGAAGTGAGATGTCGCGTTGTTGTACATATGTAGCGCCAAGGATTTCTGTTTGTTTTGGGATCGGCAGTGACAGGGGTATGTAGAGGTGATCTGCAACAGACCGTTGGAGCTGGACCAAATCCAGTGAGTGACAACCACTTTAGAGTACTTCAGTGCTGAGAGGATAAGAATAAATAAGCTGGGCGAGTAGGTATAAAATAAAGAAAAAAGAAGATGGAGTCATGAAACAAGAAGGTAGCAGATGTAAAGAGCCCGAGTACACACGAAGGATAGCACTCGATCGAGCTCTCGAACAGCTATGTACTGAGATCGTCCTTGGTCATAGTCAGCGTAATGCGTTAATATATCAGCCGAGCTGCATGTATGTAGGTACCAATACCTTGCTTGAAAGAGCTCTCGTAACCGGGTAGGTATTGTCTCGAGAAGATTTGAATGAAATTAAACTCTGTACATATGAAAGAAGATCGTGTAGCGAATAAGACTTGTATCGATGATTGTGAAAAGTGTTCTCAGACTAGTAGCCACCTATCATGATGACAACACAGTACTACATACTTTAGACTACATAAACCTCTTCTAGTCCGGGTGCTCCGTAGGTAGTCGAATATTATGTCCCTGATCCCCCCACGCATCGATTCTCCAAAATCCCAGCTAAAGGTAGACTACTGCAAGCCCTCCACTCCCTACCCTCCCCCTGTTTAAAGCCTCCAATTGCGACTATGGAGAGATTGTACAAATCATCTTGATTCTCTCTACCTCAGAGTGTGAACTGCAATACTTTGCATATATGCCGCAGTATTTATGGAACGAACCTTTGAATGGATACGTACTAATGCAGTAAAGCTCAAAGATTAAGTTGGACCTTAAGGCGCTTCACCTAAATCATATGCCTCATTCATACTGTGGAGTTAGTCTTTTGGCATAGACTTGGTTTTTATCCTTCGTCATAGGAAACCACTCGTAAATCGGGATGGGGTTGGGGGGCCGGTTTCTCGACTGGGGTGTTCTAGCTTTGCTAGGCCACATAATATTAAAGCTGCGGGGCTGCATTGTTGTACTCTCGCTCCTGGTGTAGGAGCTATTCTATCTCAGAGCTATCCCCATGCAGCATTGCCAAGCTAGCGTAAAGTGAGAGCCGACTGGTACACACACAGTCAACAACACTAACGAAATCATAGTGAGCATGGGTTGGATGGTCCAGCAGTATAGAGTTCACACTCTGTACCACAGCTGTGATCGTTCAACCCCCCCTCCGGACGTAGAAAGAGATGTAACAGCCAAAGCAGTGCTGCGAACTCTTTTTGCTGGCGAGACAAAATATTTTTCTTCTCCCCTTCTGATTAAAAAAACACACGTATCCTACATGCACCTAACCTATAGTCGAGAAAAGTAGATTGCCTACACAAGTACGTAGGAAAGAAGAATCGACTGTGACCACTAGGGGAGCTCCCCGTATTGCAACTGTCTTCCACATGCACTGTGACAGCAATTACACATACCCATACCCGTACAAGTACATCTGGCCATTCACTTGTTTATCTGTAGCCAACCAAGCAAGTATAGTAGTAAAGGCGCAGCAGGAAGAAAAACAACTTCATCTTACCCCCCTCAAAAAGAATCCTTTAGTCATTCGCCAGAAACAAACTACACTTTACCAGTCACAGCAAGTCTCTAGCGGCTGCTTGCGCTGTGTGACAGTTCCAGTTTGAGATTGATATACGTCGGCCATTCGACCTCGACTGGATTGGATTGGGTTGGATCACGTACTATCACTCGTCCCAACCATCAACACGAATTGCACTTTTTTAGTTACTGTAGGCTCTACCATACTACTAAGCGGTTTATATAAACTACCAACACACGGGGGGCCGCGGGGTACAACAGCCCAACAGGAGACGGGTTATGGTTAACCAAGGCTACATACATGGGCGTACTTGGACACAGATGTCCAAATTCTCGCATCAAAATCTTCTGATTGTGACTGAAAAGGTTCTCAACTTGTGGGTGTAGATACAGGCTCGTTTTCGGATCCCGCAACGTTCAACAGAAAGCAGTAAGTCAGAAGCGAGGGAAGAGAAGAGAAAAAAACAGCCGAGTAGATGTCACCAACGCCTTTAGAAAGCGAAAGGCCTTTGCTGTGATTTTTTCTCAATTAACCCTATAATCGTAATTAAGCTATGCATAACCCCCCAAACATATGAGTTTCAGCCGGTACAAGGTCATAGCTACATGTACTAAGCATCCACACTCCCTTCATTTCGAAGTGCACTGGCGAATTAGGCGACCGTCTCCATGGAGTCATAATCATTGACATCACCGAAATCTCCTTTGCCGGAACGAAATTTCGAAAGCTCTCAAGCTACGTCTCTACTACGGGAGTAAATGCATTAATAAGCACATTGCCCACAGAACGCTGCGTGGAAAAGGCTCCGATTGATGCAATTACCGCGTCGAGGCATGTTGTAAATGAATCAATTGATGCAATTGCATATACTATAATTACCATGTACAACTTTCATGATCACTTTTAGCACAATATAAGATACAATTTGGGGAACACATTATTCAACACATTATTCAATAATAAACCGATTTTTTGATTTTAAGTACAGCCTATTAACACAAAAACATATTACCGGTAGCTGAGCTCAACTCCAGGTGATTTCATTTTTTCTTTTCTCAATATACATGATTCATTTAGGGATGCATTTATATTTTTTTTATTTAATTATATGATGCATTGTGCATTCGTTCTGCCACACATGCCCGGCTATATGTGATGCATAAAAGGCTCATTAATCGATGCATTCCCCGATTCGTTACATGATGCATTAAAACACAAATTTCCGAACATATTAGTACACTCATATCGCGATTCATTATTGAAACTGAATCTGATACCCCTTCATACGCCTTAACATACGCATATCACATACACGTTACAAGACGGCTTTCCCTGATGCATCAATACTGTTAATAGAGCGTACGACACAACCAAACAGCGGCACCGCCGACAAGATAGTGCACCAGAGCTCTATCCAACCCAGCAGTTCCCGCGGAGAGAGGGGTAGCTATTACCGTGGCCGGGACGGTATGTATGTACAGCGGTGGGTAATAAGTGATGGGACGCCCTGAGGTACAGTTATACCTGCAAACACCGTATGTTGGTGGCGTTTTACCTAAAACAGGTATCACTGTGTCTCAGGGCGTTCCATTACTTATTACCTACCGCTGTACAGTGGGGCTCCGCTGTGAAGTCAAGTACCCGGAGAGTCGGAGGGAACTAGACGCGCACCCGGATCGCACGAAGGACACAAAAGGACTAATTATAAGTGAGCTCGTATAGATTTAAATGTGGTCCCAGTACTATACGGGGTAGCCCGGCGGAACCCCGGGGGGGGGAGATTGCGAGTGATGATCTATGATTCTCAGACTGAACTTTGTCTTCATATCGTTATCTTCTCTTCCTCGACCACCTAATGGTGATGAAAGATTAAGGGTGGTATATATTGTTAGCACCAATAGTTGCATTATATTACCGGCTCGTTCGAAAGTGAACCACAAACGACTGGAGCGATCACAACACATGGATAACAAACGCCCCCCCCCTCTAGATCTCCAAATAAAACACCCCATCTTAAACCACTTCCACTCACCCAGACCAATAATACGCATTATCAAGTCCCACGGTCTAGCCCTATCTCCCTTAGAAAAAACTCCAAGCCAAAGTGACAAGCCATCCATCATCAAATATCACTCGCCCAACGACCCGGACTGTCTCGGGCTTCACTAGACACGCAGCTCGCGGGGCGTCTTCTCTAACACATTCTATCTGCGCAGTAGTCTCGAATGCTTATTTCTGGCTTACACATAATCTTACTACCTGCTCAAAGGCCGGTTTACAGCCGGCCTTATTAGTCCGAGTACCTACTTCACACCTGCAGCTAGACAACCACTAGACGGAAGATTGGAGTCTATACCCATACAGTGTCACAACTTGCCACTACAACTGGGTGTGTTTCTGGTATTCGGGGGTGTTTGGTCAACCACCACCAGATGGGCAAAATTTGCCAACGAGTAGTAAGGTATCTAAAGAAGATATTCAAGTACTCAGAATTCAGCATGTCTCTGAGTTGTGATGTGGGATCAGGGGCCAGGAAAATGTGAAGATTCTAAAAGCATGGAAGATAAGATTATTGTATAGAAAGATAGATCTACTTCTAAACTATATGGAATTAAATCATACTGACCGTGGGATGACTTTGAGCGGTTGTTTGAGGCGGTTATAAAGTTGGCTTTTGCTGATTTTGAGCTTTGATGGGGTTTTCCTCGACAACGGTTGACAACGCCCAATTACCAAACACCTCCGAATACCAGAAACACACCCAACTATAGTCCGCGCCCTATCCACCATGTTCCGTGGGTGATATCTAGTACCTTCGGGCTAGAGAGATAGGGCGGGCTATAGCTAGCTTTCGAGACCAGAGGCCATTATATCTGCAGCTCAAGTAAGATTATGGCTGGATACATTTAATTACAGAGTGATACTCTTTATCTTCGCTTTGTTCTTGATCCAGATCGGTCACTGTTAAGGAGGCTATGGAGCTTCTACAGGGTGCTATCGGGAGGGTGGGATGTCAATGATTTATGACTATATACATCTGGGAGAAAAAAAATCCTAAGGAGAAGGAAAATGAGATGCACGCAGCTGGCTAATCTCTCGCTGGTATGATGAGTACCGCAGCACACAATGCAACCCAGCTACAGAGCTCAGGAACGCAAGAAAGCAAAGAAGACGAAGAAAAAAAAAGAAAGAAAAAAATGCAAACCCCATGGCCCACCAACTCCAACACACCCAAAACAACCGGAGAGAAAACAAAAACAAAAACATACCACAACCAATCACACCCCACTCCCACCCTGCACCGGCCACGCCCCCTCCCACCCCCCAAACCCACCCCTCCACCCCCACACCACACAATAATGCCTCGCCAACAGCCTCCACTCCTCCATCTCATCCAGCATCTCCAACCCGCCAATCCGCCCCCTCTCCCCCTCGCCCACCCACCGCTCATACAGAAAGTCCACATCCGCCGCCTCCTGCCCGCCCGCCAGCCCCAGCACCCGCAGCCGCTCCTTCTGCCGCTCAAGGCTCGAATACTTCTTCAGCGTCCTAAGCACGATCCCGCGCGCCGCCAGGTTCTGCACCATCACCTTCCCAAAGGCATCCTCGCCGCCGATCGGCTCATACAGCACGACGCCGACGTCGCCGCTAAAGTCCCCCGTGATCCAGCGCACGATGGCGTCCGCCTCCTGCGGCGCAAGGTAGATCAGACAGCACTCGGAGATGAACAGCGTCGGCAGCCCGCGCTCCACGCCCTGCGGGAGCGCGCAGCCGGGGTGCAGCGTGCGCAGGTCCAGCGGGTGGATGTGGTAGTGCTCCGATGCTAGTGCATCGGCCGTCAGTGCCGTCGGGGGCGATATGAGCAGCTCCGAGACCAGCGAGGGGGCGCCGCGGGTGAGGGCTCGGATCTTGCGCGAGGTGACGGCTGAGAAGTCGATTTCGTGGTAGAGGAGGGAGGCGGCGGCGGCGCGGTGGGTGGTGAGGAGGCGGAGGTAGCGCGTGTCGGAGCCGGCGCCGAGGGAGATGATTTGTTTTTTTGCGGGCGTGGAGGCGAGGAAGCGGGTGACGAGCTGGTCGATTGCGGTGGTGCGCACGTAGGTTCCTATAGAGGGTATGTTTGTTAGATTTCTTCTTGGGGAGGATTATAGAGTCCGGCAAACCTCGATTAATCAGCGGCAGCTTCTTCTGGACGGGCCCTTCAACGAACGCTCGCGCAAACGGGTCAATGAGATATCCGGTCTCTACGGCGCTGAGGCGGGACTGGCTTGCATCTTGGTCTGTCTGCTGGACGACACGGTCTTTGGCCTCGGGCGTCTGGTCTTTCTCTTTGTCGGCCCTGAAGCGGTTTGGGCCTGGGAAGCGGAGGGGCGTCGAGCTCATCTGGGGTGAATATATTGAATTGTAGGTTTATCTGCTGCTGTGGATTGACAGACGTTTTGACGGGTATCAATGATTGTCGATGCGAGTGATGTCAGCGGGGATGCAGATGTGTTGGATTAGGCTGGCGGGGTGGGGGGGAGGGATGGTGTGTGGTTACTAGCAGCAGCCTTGGTAATCAGGGCCCTCCAACCAACGACTAAGATCCCCTCAGCTAGCTGTGTGCACCTTCACCGGGACAGGGTCGATGATGCTAGCTGATTATTATTCGTCCTCTTGATCCTCTTACATCAACGGCCAACTCTGTTTCGATACGATTCGGCATCTCTGGGATCTACAGTTAAAGGTAAATCATACATACTCTGCCTATATACATCCGTGGATTCATAACTAGAGAAGAGTAATCAATCTCCTCTGATCCACACAAATCCAATTCCACAATCATCGCGAATCTCGTAACACCATATTAATTGAGCCAGCTGAGTCAAAAGCCTTCCTTATTAGCCGTCTAACTCAAATACCACACATCGCACATTTATAATCTTAGCGCCGCTATCGCAGAGCCCTACTCCAATCATCATGTAATAGCCTCTCATTCCCCAATCTATGATAGCTAGATGCACTCCACTCCATCGGCCGCGCCGGGGGGGAGGGAGGGGTGCCACATGTGTGCGCCTAGATCCTCAATCTTGCGAAAAAGGGGCATTCTGCGCCGAGATTGGGGTGCCTTGTGAACGTCGTCGGTGGCTTGAAAACTAAAAAATTACTCTGGCGCGCGTTGGCGGTGGTGGTGATGAGTATTTTGTTTTTCGGAGTGCTTTCCTCGATCTTGAGCGCCGCTGTGTGTGTGAAGAGTGCACGACTCGATAGGTGTGGTGGGTGAGGGCATGCCCCTGATTTACTTTGAGCTTTCCTTCGAGTATGTACTCTATCTTCACTACTCCACTACCGGCAGCGGTAGGTAGGCAGGTAGAGTAGAGCAAGAGCAAGAGTAAGAGTAGGTTCTGCTCTCTACCGCCCATTTCAAGAACGCAATCTCCAACCCTTCATGCAGTTGCTGTGCCAACGCCCAGGCACCGCGCCGCCGTACCTGCAGCAGCATGAGTGAGACCCTCTTCACCTCTTCGCCTTCGCCTCGCTCGCTTCCTGAGAGCGACATTAACACCGTGCGGACGATCCTGTCTGTTGTGTAAATTTAACAACACTCAAAAACAAGCATCACATGACCTGCGTTGGTTGAGCTCAAAAACTACCTAGACTAGGCACTAGTTCCAATTCGCGGGGAGACCAGGGGAGAAAAAGGGTCGGAAAACGAGTTCGATGATCTGATCTGTGGGGAGAGCTCCCTTCGCGCACTGACTAGGAGAGTTAGGGCCAGGGGGCGAATTGGATACGCCACTGTGCAGCGTGCGTGCAGTGACTCTCGCCTGTTCTGCAAGCGAAAAAGCGAAAAGACGTAAAAAAAAAAAAAAAAAAAAAAAAAAAAAAAGGAAAGAGTGAGATGAGACGAAACGAAATGAAAAAGGGGAGTTGCACTTTGTTTGTGGATGTGGATCGTATGCACTTCTGGGCTTTGGCTTTCTTCGGAAGTGACCCGAAACGCCGAAGAAAAACTTAAAATCCTCTTGCTACTATGGGCTGGGCTGGCCATGGCATCAGAATAGAAAAGAGAGAATCCGTACCTGATCTGAAATCCTGTTCCGTACCTACATAACAAAAACCCGTACTCTACCTGCCCACCGCACACATGCCTACGGCACAGCGCATTGTTTAATATCCATCCATTCTGTGCCTCGTTTCTCTATCTACTCTGTGCTGCCCACCGCCCCCAAAAGTCTTAAGATCAACATTTAGTTCCTCCAAATCAGCTCTTTCCTCCCTACCCAGAGTAGTTACCTCCGCAATTCTCCCCATTCCCTTCCCCCACTGCTATCCATGGAGGCCTCCATGTGCCGCTGGAGTAGGAAGGAACCCAGATATTACTCGTCCATTCTGAAAGCTCATGTCTATTTTTTGGGCGTCATATCCAATCTAAAATCCGTGCATTAGCGCCAGCTATGGGGTTCCCAAAATGTTATTAGGCTTTTAAGCTTGCACTTTACTACCTACCTTTATTGTAACTGGTCTCAGGGCTTCCTTGCCTCAATTTCCCAATCCACCTTGGGAAGGCTCTTAATACGTCCACACACCTCCCCTGGTTAACGTTCGAACCCGATCTGACCAATCGTATATTGCTCGTACTGCCTATAGCGAAAGATAAACCGTGCACTGCAGCCCTCATAAGGTTAATTAGTGAGACCGGAATCTCTGGTAGTTAGATCATGTAGCCTGTATCATAATGTGGTATTCCATAATTCGAGAGAGGCTGTTGGTAGGTTAGGTTGGGTCTAGGCAGGTAGGTGGTTTGGTAGGTTGGTAGGGCCGAATTCAATCACATCGTGGAGACTCCCCTTGCGGCACCTTGCACACCTAGCTGGGTCTCTCAGAGGTTCTGCGCCGACCCGCCCGTTGGTTCGTGTGTGGAGCAAGCAGCCATGGCTCCATCAGTTATTATGACCGTCTCCCCCTTCACATCCCCTTCTTCTTTTCCTCACCTTGTCGTCGACGTTCTTTTCGCTCGAAGGTGCCCCCCCAGTCAACATTCTACAGTCGCAGTCGACTCTCACTCTTTCGAGTTCGACGCACTACATTCTCTTTACAGCAACTGTCCCTCTAGGAATAGTCACTCCTTCTATCGAAATCACACCAACCATCACCATCATTAATTCAAAAAATACCCCCAAAAAACTAATAATAATAATGCACTCCTTCAAATTCTCCACAGTCGCCGCTGCGGCGCTTTTCTTTTTGTCGGCCGTCAGCGCAGAATCTCATGCCGCCATGGCAAGAAGGCACATGCATGTCCACGCCCACAAGAGAGGAGAGATCACAAAACGCTCGACATGCGAATTCCCTAAAGATGCTGGTCTGATCGCCGTAACACCAGGAGAAAAGAACGCTGGATGGGCCATGTCCCCAGATCAACCGTGCGAGCCTGGTATGTCGAGTGATAGGTTATGCACCAGTGGAAAAGCTATTGTCTAACCAACCGGTGTACAGGGATGTACTGCCCATATGCTTGCCCCCCAGGTCAATTGATGGCCCAATGGGATCCTAGTGCAAAGACATACTCATACCCACAGTCAATGGTAAGATATTCGAGCAGGGATGGCTTACTTGATATTGAAGGGGCTAACAATCGAGGTAGAATGGAGGCCTTTACTGTAACGAGGATGGCGAGATCGAAAAGCCATTCCCTAAGAAGCCCTACTGTTATGATGGTGCTGGAACTGTTAGCTGCAAGAACAAGGCTGGCGGTCAGGTCTCGGTTTGCCAGACCGTCTTGCCAGGTAACGAGGCAATGCTTATCCCAACCCTCGTTGAGAGCATGTCCGATCTCGCAGTGCCTGATACATCTTACTGGGCCGGAACTGCAGCACAGTGAGAAAAACTCCATATTTATCCAAAGTTAAAATAAATAGAACCAACTAACTCGAATATAGCTTTTACATCAACCCTCCAGGTGTCAACCCTGAAGAAGCATGTGTCTGGGGAACCAAGGACAAGCCAGTTGGCAATTGGTCTCCTTACGTTGCCGGTGCAAACGAAGTGGACTCTGGCGTAACTTTCGTCACAATCGGCTGGAATCCCATTTACATCGAGCCCGATGTCACCTTCAGGGATGTCATGCCTGATTGGGGTGTCAAGATTGAGTGTGAAGGTGGAAAGTGTGGCGGTCTTCCCTGCTACATTGATCCCAACGAGCACAGTGTCAACGAAGTCTCACAGAAGAACCCACCTGGCGCTGGCGGAGCAAACTTTTGCGTTGTTTCTGTACCCAAGGGTGCAAAGGCAAACATTGTTGTGTTCAGCAAAAGTGGCAGTGGTGGTGGGAAAACCGAGAGCAAATCATCTTCCGCGTCCTCTGCCAAAGCTACACCAACTCCAACTAAATCTTCATCCTCTGCTAGCAAGACCTCAGAGGCTAGCAGTACGGCGTCAGCCAAGAAGACTTCAAGTGCGAGCTCCACCAAGAGTTCTGGAAGTGAGAGTTCACGCACCACTGACCCATCATCTTCTACAGAGACGGAATCTCCATCCTCGACTAAGGATTCGGGCCCGAAACCCACTAGCACTAAAGGTGACGACGATAAGGAGGATAAGGAGGAGGAGGGCCACGAGGAGGAGGGCCACGAGGAGGAGGGCGAACAGGGCGAGAACGACTCAGAACATGAAGGCTCTGGTGATTCCGAAAACTCCGGCGACGACGAGCACTCAGGCGACGACGAGCACTCCGGCGACGATGAAGAATCCGACGACTCAGCAATCCACCCCGATGATGGCGCCGAATTATATGTCGTTGATGAGAACGAGGCTTCAAGCGGATCGTCTTCTGAAACTACTGGATCTTCAAAGGATGCCACCGGCGCTGCCTCTGGCAACGAAAATGGGAGTGTCATCACTGTTGGTCCCTCATCATCATCAACTGATCAGCCACTGAGCTCTGGTGGATCGATATTGTTCTCAAGTGCGACATCTGTGGCAATTTTCAGTATATTTTCTACTTTGGCTATTTTTTTGTAAAATTATCTGTCATTGTGGATTTTTATTGAAAATTTCTGGTATTTAGTAGGGCGGGAGCTGTGTTTAATTTATGTTTTGATGATAGTTTTTGCGCGGGTGTATTTTGCATTGCTTGTTCCGCTTATTTTTTGGAGCAAAAGGATTTTTATCTCCATATTTTCTATTTAATGGTGGTCTGGGAGCCTCTGTTCATTGGTGCGAGGGCGTTTTTATTGGTGACGCCTTTTTGCGTTTTTCTTCTTCATTATACCCCTGGTCTTGTACCAATTTTTCACTGTAAAGTGCTTTTTTATTTTACAATTTCCCACCTTCGAGGTTGTTTGGAGAAAAAACATGTGCTCTCCATAGAAGGTGGACTGGTTGGATATCATAACTAAATTAGTATTGGTATCTCCTCGCTACTCTTTGTTTCGCGTTGGGCCTTTAGGACCCCTGTTCTTAATGATCGTTGTTTGGTGAGCGAAATATTTAATTTGATGCGTCTTTAGCGATGGGAGGATTGTAAATTGTTGTTTTGTTTCCCTCTTGAGAGGATGTCAGTGCTCTGGGAACTATGTTCCCTACTATTTCCTTTGTGTTTTCCTTTTGTATATCTGTGCTGTGGTAAATATTGAGGGGACCTGCGGTTCCACGGGTGATCTTTGCAAGTATCGATACTTTAGCGTATAATCATAAGAATTTGTTTCTTGTCTCACATCAGCTTCAAACTGTACCATTCTCCTTGAATATTATCAATAGATAAAGCGAATACTGTTCAAACGTAGTGGAGATAAAGTCTGAAGTCAGTGTAGTTTCTAAGCTCAAGCGGTGGCATACTTAGGCATGCATGTGCTTTGGTTATTTCAAACGGCTTGTCTTCATCTGAATTATGTCATATGTGTACTCAACTTTGGAATTGACAGATATGAAGTCTCTAGTACTATGGCTTCAGGCACGGCCTAGTTGTCCATGTATGAGGTAGCACTACATTCATCATTACACTTCCGGTACATTCGTCCAGGTAGCTTAAAGCGATCACAGATCCTTTATTTCCATATCCCTAGAGCCCTAATGTCTTACCTTCTGAACGGTGGCATTTTTTTTAATTAGTGTCAAAACCTGTCATTACCCCCCCCCCCCCCCCCCCGAAAATCCCCTAGAACCAAAACGGAACTATACCACGTGACGGTCCCTGAATCAGCAAGCACGGAAGCTTAGCTCTCCCGCCAGAAGAAGCACTTCACCTCAACCCCGAAACAACCTCTCAGCTCACCTCCGTCGATTCTCGCCGGCCATGGTCCTTTCTTTCATCCTTATCCAGAACCGACAGTATGTAGCTCCTCCCCCCATCGCACCTCTCGGCCCTGAAGATTGGCTGACAGACCGGGCGCGCGGACACAGAGGCAAGACCCGGCTTGCAAAGTGGTATGCACCGTACGATGTACGCAATAACCCCATCCTCCTCTGCCCATCACGGGCGCTACAGCAATTGCGCGCGGAGATAGGATATTGACATTTTCGCAGGATGAGGAGAAGGTCAAGTTGAAGGGAGAGGTACGTTTAACGTTGCTTTAAGCTTTGCCCTTCCGTCATTGTCGCCTAGCCGAATGTTTCAACGCTTGCTAACCCAACTTCCCCTTGTTTCAGGTCCACAGGCTTGTTGCGCCACGGGACCAGAAAAATCAATCAAACTTTGTCGAGGTACACTCGGCCTACGTTATCCGCCCCTCCTCGCCATGCACCTAGCTAACGAGCGCAGTTCCGGAACAATAAAATCGTATACCGTCGCTACGCCGGCCTCTTCTTCTGCGTGTGCGTGGACGCGAACGACAACGAGCTGTCATACCTCGAGGCGATCCACTTCTTTGTCGAGGTCCTGGACGCGTTCTTTGGGAACGTGTGTGAGTTGGACTTGGTATTCAACTTTTACAAGGTCTATGCGATCCTGGATGAGGTGTTTCTTGCGGGCGAGATCGAGGAAACCTCCAAGCAGGTAGTGTTGACGAGGTTGGAGCATCTGGATAAACTTGAGTAATGGTTTAAGGAGACTTGGCGTGTTAATTTGATAGATACTTGTGACAAATATTGAGCTAGTGTAGATAGTGCATAGCTTCTTAATTGTGCCATCAAGATGGTTGCTTATTTACAGTAGTGAACTTTGCCCCGATACAGTTATTGAGGAGAGGGCGGGCAATTTTAAGCTTGCCCATATTCTTTGTCGGCCAATTCTTAGCTCATGTGCTGACCCATATGTCCTGGTCCTTAAGCTGGCCTTCAATCGGATTACTCTCAAAATAGTGGTCAAAAAGTCGGAGGTTACAATAGTTCGGTCTGTGATCTCACACTACTAGGAGGATTGAAATTGTTTTTTCTTGAATGCTTGTTCATTGTATCCACTTCAAATTTGGCTTGGTATTATGGGAACAACTCTCAGAAGAAAATAGCTCCTCACGCGACCTGGGAAATACGCAGGCAGTATATAAAATGCGCCAGCCACTACCATGATGTCAACTACATACTGTGTCTAGCCTGTAGATTTGATATCATTAGCACTGTAAATCACAGTCCGGCAAGCGACTCCACCCCCAAAATGACAATTAATAGAGCGTATTTACTAGATAATATCGTTTCTGAAGTTGCAAAAGGCAAAATTGACACGGCGTGATTGGAGTAACTCTGAGATCAAATAACTTCTCACGCTACCTGCGATAGGTATATGTACGCTGACAGTATATGAAATGCGCAAGCCGCAACAGGATGATAATTACTGTGATGTCCGGTAAGTGCATTTTATATCATTTTGGCCCGGGAAAAAACCACACCCAAAAATTGACACTTGTGGGTGTCGCCTTGGAGAGTAGCGAAGTGTCAATTTTCAAGGTTGACGGTTAGCAAATTTAAATACGCTCTAATGTAGCTTGGCCAACTCGTTTGTTCATATCGAGATAAGATTAGAGTACAAGTGACAGCAACCAAAGAATAAGGCGTCGGGGGGGAAGGAGTTATTTTTTAATTATTTATTTATTTTTCGAGTCACCGAGGGACTATAGGTGACGATCAAGGTCTAGTCTTATTTTCTTGGCCTCCAATTCGGGTTGATTTGATGGTTGACAGAATCGAGTGACATCGTGTGATTCTGTGTAGAACTGCGTGCCTTGCTTTAATCAATTCCCACAATTTGGGTCATAAAGGTCGTAGTGACTCAATTGCAGAGAATTTTTACCCACCCCACCTAACCTTACTTACCCCACCAACGACTCTCCCCCCTCCTTCCCACACACACACAATCCTCATCCGAAACCACCCAAAACCCATCTCCAGAAAAAATGAACCGCCCTCAGTTCCCACCTCCTCGTCCGTATATCTCCCCCTTCGATCGTATCCCCATGTGCGTCATTGTCGAGCTCATGGTTTCCATGACTTTCGCCGATATCGTCTCCTTCATCCAAACCTCGCGCACCCACTATCACATATTCCTGCTTTTTCATACCCAAATCATCACCCGCCGCGTCCGCCGCCTCTTCGGTCGCTGTGGCCCCGAGATCCTCACGATCCTGCACTTCCAGCGTCCCACCACCCTCCATGCACCCTTTACAACGCTGCCGAAGGACTTCTTCCTCGTCCCCGACGACATTCCCAACCTCCGAAAGAGCTACCGTGTCTTCCGCAGCGTCGAGAAGAAGTTCTACGAGCAGCAGCGTGCCATACGTCTTGGCTATATGGCTATGGGAAGACCTTTCGACGGAGAGTGGACGATCTCGCTGGGCCGTTTCTTTGCGGCCTGGCTGCACGCCATCCAGTTCCAGTACGACGACATGAACCCGTTCCTGCTACGCCGAAGGCTGTCGCCAAGAATTCTGAACAGCTTGTTTGACCTTTCGACCGCAGTGTTGGCCTCCGACGGCTATGAGCTGATGAAGCAGTTGACAGCGAAGCGTGTGGTTCCGGGGGGGCTGTATGTGCCCAACCTGTTCGCTTCATGTGTCGAGTGGATGCCGTCCTGCCTGACCAAGCCAGAGCACTTTAGGGGCCATAATGAGGTCGTGAGGATGAAGCTTGTGCACCATTTCAATATCCGCGTGCTCTCCGATTATCCGGCCGAGCGTTGGGCGGAGGTTATTAAGGTCCGCATTTTGGGTGGGATGGTCGAGAGCTTGATGGATGATTTTGGGGACGGAAGAGTGGGTACCATTGGGCGCATCATTCAATTTTATGGGCTTGAGAAGTCGGCTTGGCCGGAGGGCAGCAGGGGTTGATAGGACTGTGCTTTCTAGCGCGGTTTGAGTTTATCCTTTGTGGGATGGGCTCTGGGGTCACCATTACTGTGTTAAATTGGAAATGTCAAATAGTCCAGGAAGATATGAATAAAAAGTCGTTCAATTGATAGTAACAGATAAGAGTTCTCACATAACGTAGAGTAAGTCGTGTGGTTGTGGGGCGCGGTGTTTTTAGAGGACAGTGCATCTTAATGAACGTGCAGAAAATAGTGCATGGGTCCTAGGAAAATTCTATAATCAAATACTTTATACTTTTATATGTACTTGTACGTACATCTACATGTAGTACGTTAGGCTCGTCCCCAGCCCCCCGGCCCCCCTGCTTCCATCCTTCTTGCTGCTAGTAGGGAATTGGTACGAGACTAGTACAGTAGACTCTCGCTATAAGGATATGGTCGGGGCCAAGAATATGTATCCTTATAGCGAATTAATAGCGAAATATCCTTATAGAAAGTGGGGAATGCTAGCAAAACGGCGGTTGCGGACCGGGCACTGGTATCCTTATAGCGAGTATATCCTTATATCAAATACTTGTTCCTTATAGCGAGAGTCTAGTGTAGTACGTTACTACGCCCATCCCCGCCCGGAGAACACCAAGTATGAATCCTCCAATCCATCTAGAAATAAGTACATGTATGTTCACCCAGGAACTAGAGATGGGCCACACACCGTACTTGTGCTAGTGGAGTTCATCAAAGCCAGTCTTTAACTGCCAGCCTATAGACTACAGACAGGAGAGAGAAAGGATGGAGACAATTCTCGATTTATAATATACATAATGTATCAGTTATTACCAACCAGAGCAATAGAATAAACTCCTAAACCTTCCTCAGTTATTTACCACTCACCACGCCCTATCCACCAGAGGGCATTTGTCCAACAGCTACAGCATTACGAACTATCACTCGCGTAAATGCACTTGGTCCGGATAACTCTAGCGATCCACAACCTCTAATTTACAGGCCGGTAGAAGTGCCACAACATCCTCCTATTGCACCTACATCCCACCGCAACAATTGCGACTTGGCGGCAGCGAGTGATATCTCATGACCGCACGAGAACCCTCCTTACCGCGCGAAAAGGGTAAGTTCACCCAACCAACAGTGTGTGAAACTTGGTTCAAGATTTGGTCTCATACTCTCCCCCAACCCTCAGAAAACCGGGTAGAGGGTTGGTTTATCTTCCCCTTATGGTGCGCTGGTTGCGAATGGTTTGTACTCTGCATAATAAACTAAGAATATCAATCAGTTGTTTTGTTGACAAAATCTGGCAACAGAAGCACTTCTTATTCCCTCTCTTTCTTTTCCGCAAAGGTGCAGAGCGTGTCTCAGCAAGTGGTGGTCAGTACTGCCCGTACCTAATATTGGTGTAGGAGCCATTCCATCTCCGAGCCGTCCCCATGCGGTATTGCCAAACTAGCTTAAAAATGAGAGCCGACTCGCCTAAACACGCAGTCAATAACACTAACGAAATCATTGTTACCATGGGTTGGATGGTCCAGCGGTATAGAGGTCACACTCTGTACCACGGCTGCGATCGTTCAACCCCCCCTCCGGACGTAGAAAGAGACGTAACAGTTAAGGCTGTGAACTCTTTTTGCTGGCGGGGAAGGCAAAATAGTTTTCTTCTACCGTTCTGTCCTCCTCTGCCTGATACAGAAGACATTTACTATTATCCTAATTAGTCTCCGTTTTGATTTGAACTTTTGTCTGTCTCGAAGTAGTGTGGCGACAAAAGCAGTTGGGGAACTAGACTATGGATTTGGAGCTAAAAGAAGAAAAAGACCCCCAAATCACACCGGAAAACAAACCACACCTACCAGCCACAGACATAGCCAAGTCCCTACCTGGTGTGATATTAGATTCACTGCTCTCTTATATTAGAGCTCTAACTGATATGGTATTGATATGATGTATGTATTCACTCACTTGGTTGTACTAAATCATAGACTATCACTCGTCCCTCAGCACGGCTACTAAGTAAGTATGATAAAAACAAGAACGACAACAACTCCGCTTTTTAGCATATCCATATCATTACCTACGCCACGCTACCGGGGCCCGAAATAGGCGGGTGTGTTATTGTTATTGTTATTACTAGCTATTTATCATTCATTACCATCGTCTCCTTATACCTATAACCCCCCCCCCCCCCCCCCCCTTTCTTCTCTTTCTGTTCTCCGCCTCTTCCTTTCATCCCAATCACACCTTCCCCACAACTCCCACCTTTACCGCCATACCCACCTTTGCCCCCGCCTCACCTAAGCAGCTCACCCGCAACCTACCCCACAAACTCTCTAAAGTTCCTCCACCTCCTCCCCGTCGTCACAAACCACTCCCACTCCCCCTGACCCCCATCCCCCTCCCCAACCCCATCCCCATCCTTACCCGCACCCGCACCCACACCCACACCAGGGCCCACCGCAAGCGTCACCTCAGGCACAGCACACACCTCCCTCTCCCTCTCCCTCTCCCTCTCCCTCTCCCTCTCCCTCTCCCCCGTAGTCGCCGACGTGGTTTCAGTTGTCACACTAGTCATTTGCTCCTGAAGTTTGTAGTGGCCGAACGGCACTACAGCACTGCGCTGGAGGTATAAATACGCCGCGAGGCCGAGCACAAACACGAGTAGTAGCGCCCTAAGCGGCATTGAAAGATTCCGTGCCTTCTTCTTTGGTGCGCGGGTGGTGAAGGAGGAGGAGGTGGGAATGGGTCTTCTAGCACGTGGCACAGCGGTCCTGGGGGGCATTTTGGGCGCGGAAGCAGCAGCAGCAGTGGCAAAAGAGGAAGCAGAAGTAGAAGCAGCAAGAGCAGTAGTAGCAGAAGTAGCAGCAGAAGTAGTAGTAGGAGTCCTATGTCTTAACCACACAACTCGCACGCGCACCCACAAACCCGCACAACACCGAATTAGCCCGCCCACCCAAGAAACAAAAAAAACCAACAGAGCTCAAAAAAAGAAAGGCAAAAGACAAAGATATCCCCAGAAAACCTATAACCTTTTCAGCGCAGCAAACCTCGCCGCCAGATCATCATCATCCAGCGGATTCTTCTTCGCCGCCGCCACCGCCGGCCCCTTCCTCGCCACCGGCACCACCGCCGCGGGGCCCGGAACCTTAATCGTCGGATGCACATTCTCTGTACTCGGCGACGGCGGCGCCACATTGACCGCGCCCCTCATGGTCCTCGGCGGCGCCAGCTCCGCCGCCGTCGCATCGCCCAGGACCGCCTCGGCCGTGCTCGGCTCGTCGTCGTCGTAAGCGGGCGGCAGCGGCGGGCTGGACGGCGGCGTGCGGCCCCACGCAATACCATACGTGCGCGCAATCTCCTTCAGGTACAGCGTGACGAGCGTCTCGGACGGCGGCTCGACGCGCAGCTTCTTGAGCACGCGGTCGCCAACCTTGTTGTCGGTGTTCTCGATGGCGGCGAGGGCGAACTCTTTCCCGTACTTCTCGATGAGCAGCTGGCGCGCTTGCTGCAGCTCTTTGATCTCGGTGCGGGGCGCGGCGTAGATGATGCTCTTGATTGCTTCTTCGAGGCCTGGGTCGCACTCCCTACTCCACAGTCAGCACCCTCCTCTCACACCCCCCATGCCAAGCTTGCTACGTACTTTGCTTCCAGCAGCTGCACGCGCGCCAGCAGCAGCTCGCAGTACAGCTCCAGGATCTCCATGAGCTCGACCGAGATGTCCTGGCGGATGATGTTCTCGACGCGGATGCGCGCCGACTCCTCCTTGCCCTGCTCGAGCAGCTGGGCCATCTGGCGGCGGTTGACCTTTGCGAGGGCCGTCTCGCGCTGCTGCACCATGCGCAGGCGCGAGACGGAGAGCTTCAGCGCTACTTTGAGCTTTGTCTATATGTGTGTGTGGTTTGTTAGATTGCGTGTGTGGAGGGGGAGAGGAGAGGGGGTGCGGGGTAGAACTTGCAATTACGGTGGAGGGAGGGGGCATGCTGTCTGTCTGTCTGTCTGTGTGTGTGTGTGTGTGTGTGTGTGTGTGTGTGTGGTGCAGTGTGAGATGGGAGTGGGAGAGATCGTCGTGTAGATAAAGCTGGCTGTTGCTAGCCAGAGAAGAAGAGCAAGAGAGCAAGAGAGCAAGAGAGCAACAGAGTGTTCTCCCCATTCCCACGATGACGACTCCGCCAAGCAAGCCACACCCTCTCACCCTCCCTCTCCCACTATCAACCATTCCCAGGCCCCCATCACACCCATCACACCCATCACACCCATCGCCCATCACACCATCACACCCATCACACCCATCACATCTCACTCTCTCTGCCCCGGTCTGCCCCCCTGTCCACAGCTTGCCATCTATCCGGTTTTATGCGTGATGAGCTCTGCCGCCAAGCCCGAAAGCTTAATTAATTAATTCCACCCAGCAGCTCCCAGCATAACAGAAAAGAAAAAAAAATTAAGGGACACAATTTTTTTCTGTGAGACTCCTCATCTTTTTTTTTCCACCCCCCCCCCCCCCCCCCTCCTCCCCTCTTTCAACCCCTTTCAACCCCTTCTTCTCCACCCAATCGTACCTGGATGCAATGGCCAGTAGCAGCGGTGCGATGCTGAAGGCGACAAAGCGGTGGAACGCGCTCAAGGCGGAACTGACGAGAGGTATGTATGTCTCTGTCTGTGTGTGTGTGTGTGTGACGTCGGTCGGTTGGTCGGTTGGTTGGTTGGGCGGGCGGTCGGTCCGGTGGTGTCGCGTGGGCAGATGGGGGATGCTTACTGGTGTACAGATAGGCTGCCGAAGCGGATATTCAAGTGTGTTCTTGCGACAACTCTGACTGGTATGTTCCTGCTGCAGTATTACTCTGTTTCCGTTGGTTGTGAATGGCTGGAGTCAAGGCTGGCATTTGACTGGTGGCACTGCATGTAGTTATCATCACGCTCCTGCCAAACATTCGACGTATGGTATTCTTTTGTTACTATTACTCTTGCTGCGATATGTCTACGAGTGGTTCAGTGTGCTGATCCAGTGATAAAGATGTATACGGCCCCGCCGCCTACCTGGCCTCCATAACGACTGTGTTTGTGTCCTGGCCCCCCCCGCACTCATTTGTTTTCCTGCCATTCCCATGATTGGCCCTGGTACTGACTCTTCCACAGCTTCGGTATAACCACTATCGCCATGAGTCTCCCTCCCGCGCTTTTTCTAACAACTTGCCAGGACACCCCGGCCGCCGCCTCGGATCCATGGTAGAAGGTACCACGCCCTGCCCTTGAAAAAAAGCATACAAAGAATCATTGACTCACCTCTGCCAGCCCTAATCCTCGCCGCCGTCGGTGCGCTGATCGGCGTCGCCTGGACCACCCTCGCAACCTACCTGGGCTCCCTCGTACATGCCTCGAACCCCCAGGCCATGATGTCCATCCGCGCAGTGTTTGTAGTGATAGCGCTCTTCGTTCATGGCTATGTGCGGAGCTCGACGCCGCGACTGTATCTGCTAGTGTTGTTGATGATATTCCCGGTGCTTATCGGACTGGTACATCCCCTCCATCCTCCAGTAGACTCATATGTAGGCATGAGAGAGACAAAGAGCATTCACCTGATTTTTACAATTGTAAATCCACCCATCGTAGACCTCGCCCTCATTCGAAGTATCGCCAATGTTCCCTAAACAATTCCTCTACCCCATCCTCACGGCCGTCGCCATCGTCCTCCTCGTCAGTGTCCTCGTCTTCCCAGAGTTTGGCAGCACCTACCTCGGTCTCACCACCATCCAGACCCTGCAGTCCACCATCAAGGTCCAGCGCTCCGCCAACGCCCTCTTCGTCGCCTACGCCTCCGCCACCGGCGACGACAAGCTCCTCCGCGAGCTCACGGCCTCAAAGGCCGACCTCCGCCGGCAGGTTGCCGGCTGCAAGGGCGCACTGACAGAGTGTAGTTTCGAACTTGCCTTCTCTGTGCTAGCGCCGTGGGAGCTGCGGCCCATCGCGAGCCGCGGCATCAAGCGCCTGGTGGCAAACACCGTGAGTCTTGTTGGTGCGTGCGAGAGCGAGTACGCGCTTCTGGGGCGGCAGCAAGGCGTCGACACAGAGAAGAAAGAGAAAGACGAGATCGATAAGCTGCGGCCTAAGCGCGAGATCGAGGGCGGCGATGAGCGACTACTACGCTACCTCCTACGGCGGTGAGTGGCCCGAGTGATGTCCCATGATGACAGTTCGAGTGACAGCCGATGACTCATTGACTGACGATGCCCCTTTCGCCCCCTACCTCCAGAGTCGAGCAACCGCTAAACGGCCTACAGGCGGTGATAGACCGCTCGATTGACATAGTGAACACATGTGTTGCCTACACGTACGACGTGCCGACGCTCCCCTCTCACAAGCAGGGCGGGACGCCGCGGCGCCCGCATGGCGTCCTGCTGGAGGAGCTGGATATATATATTGACACCCTTTCGTCCGCGATCTCACGCTTTGGGCAGCTGACTACTGACGCACTTGAGGGTGCTGCGGTGCTGACGGAGCCTGTGGCGGACGCGGAGGGGGACGTAGACGTGATGCCACGGGATGAGGTCTTTCTGATCTCGTCGTTCATGCTGAACCTGCGGCAGGCGGCCAGCCATACGCTGGACATGCTGGTGTGCAGTCGAGGACTGGTCGAGAAGCGGCTAGAGCGCCGAGAGCGCCGGCGCCTCTGGTTTCCCAAGATTAGGTTCCGCAAGTGGTTGTTCTCTGGGCGGGAGGAGGCGGACCGGATGCCGTCTGTAACGAGGGCTGCGTTTGCCGTGGATGGCGCGGACGGCGAGGAGTCGGATTATAGTTCGAGTCGGGAGACGCTGACGCGGGAGCGCCGACGGCGTGAAAAGAAGGCGAAGAAGGTGCGGGAGAAGCTGGCGGACTGGCTGGAGTGGGTGGCGGCTAGCGACGACGTGCTGTATGCGTTTAAGCTGACATTGGGAGTGATGATTTGTGCGTGGCCGGCATTTGTCAGGAGCTGGGCGGAGTGGTTTTATCTGAACCGTGGGGTATGGGTGGCGTTGATCTTTATTCTCGTTTTTGAGAATGCGGTGGGGTCAACGATATGGATTTTTGCACTCCGGGCGGTGGGGACCGTGATTGGGAGTACGTGGGGCTTTGCGGCATATAAAGCCAGGGGAGGGAATGCGGTCGTGATTGCGGTGATGATTATGATTGGCTCAATACCCAGCTATTACGTCCAGCTGGGGACAAAGTATATGAAGGCGGGTATGGTTTGTACGATCAGTATGTGTGTGGTTGCGGTGAGCACGCATTTGCAGACTGTGCCCGGTAGCTCGGAGGAGAACTTTTACAAGAGGACGGTGACTATGCTGATTGGTGAGTTAACATTTTGTTTTATCTAGTAAGGGATGATATTAGAAGGGGCGAGGGAATTATTTGCTAATTTGAATGATTGCTTTAACTAGGCGGGTGTGTGGCCACCTTGGTGCAAATGATCATTCTGCCCGCAAAGGCACGGGTGAGGTTGAAGGAGAGTTTGGCTTCCGCCATCGTCCAGATCAATAAAATGGAATCGTGTATTGCCTATGGCGTAGACGAGATCCGAAACATCACCAGCTCGCCGCGGGTCTTCAAGAAGTTTGAGCGGGCGCGAAAGAAGGCCGAGGCATCATTAGCAAGCGCAGAGACATTTCTGACCTACACCCGACAGGAGCCCCGCCTCAAGGGCAGCTTCGAGATGCAAGAAGTCGTCTACAAAGAGGTATCCATCTTACCTGAGTGAATTCCATAGTAGTAGTTTAGTCCCCTAACCTGTATGCCTCTCAGATCATCTTTGTTCTCCGGCAGATAGTCGACCGTATGGAAAACTTGGTTCAAATGCGCAAAGCCTACGGCTCGGCCATCCTCGAACAGTACAACGCGCGCGTCTACAACTACCGCCGCAACGTTGCCGCCTCCATCACGTTAATGCTCTTCGCCTGCCACGAAGCCCTAACCACCAAGCTCCCACTCCCTCAGTTTCTCCCCTCGGCGCGGATCGCGCATCTACGCATGGTAGTGCGCGTCCGCCAGCTCCTCATGGAGGAGGAGGACGAGCAATCGCACGAGGGTGTTCACCCGGCATCGCTCGCAAAGCGGCGGGCACTGCGGCTAAAGTTCTTGTCGTGGAACGCGGCCACGGCGGCGCTCGAGGAGTGCATTGAGTATGTGGAGGAGCTGGTGGACCTGCTGAAGATGCTGGTGGGTGCGAACGAGTTTAGGTCAGGTCTTCTGAATAGGCCGACGTATCGTGATTATGTGCAGCGCATTAGGCAGATCCGCACTGCAGGCCCCGATAAGGGCGAAGAGGATGGAAGGACCGTGACGACGGGGAACTCGTTGGGGAGGTTGACAAGTAGGATCATGGGCAGTGGTATGGAGGATCAGGTGGAGGCGGAGGATATTCCAAACCCTTTACAGAGGATTCAGAGTAGAAAGGCGGCGGGGGCTAAACTAGGGAAGGTGAAAAGCGATATCGTTGGCGGCGGCAGTGGCGGCCGTCACGGGTCTTTAAAAGAGGAGTGAGTGAGAGGGTTCTAGTTTTCTTTTGTGAGACTTTTCTTTTGTTTATATGGTTGGTATGGGTATGGGCGGGCGCTGGACTTACACTTGGTTTGATTTTTGCCCCCCTTTTATTATTATCATAATTTTTGTTTCCACTTTGATTATACATTAGAAAATCTTATCTCTTAATGGCTGGACTTATCTTGTGAGTTGATATACCATGAATCCTCCAATACACAATTAAATACTTAGGAATCTGAAACTGTGTGCTGTACACATACAGTGTGAATTAGCAACGGTCCAGTCTATCCCATAATCTCAAGATGAGAGAGAATAAGGGTACTTGACCGCTTTATATCTCCCGAGTCGTCTCGAGGCAAGAGGGCTGCAGTGTTTTGAGGTGCATATGCTTCATTGAAGGTATGCCTCTGACTGTCTCAGACACTGAGGTCGAGGCGAGGTGTAGGAGGTGTCTCGGAAGAA